ACGCGGGGGGCACGCCGCAGTTAGCCGGGCTGGGACCCACGCCCTGACCCCAAGCCTCGGTCCCGCAGGTCTCGGGGCCGCTACTGCAGGCCGGACCCCACTACTGCAGGGTTTGCTGCGACCGCTGACGGCTCCAGCGTTGCCCCTGTTGTGCCGTGGCCTGGCCGCTGAGGCCAAGAAGGTCTACGTGCGCGACAAGCCCCATGTGAATGTGGGCACCATCGGCCATGTGGACCACGGCAAGACCACACTGACAGCGGCCATCACGAAGAGTGAGTGGGCTTGGGGCGGGGGCGCCTGGCAGCGTTCTCTTGGCGGGACCTGGAGCCAGGGAGGTGGGGCCAGCGGAGTCTGCGCGGCTTGTGTAGCTTGGACCCAAGAGCCAAAGCTCGGGGGCCGGCGGTGGGGGTGATGGGGGCTGGCTTGGGAGACCCAGGAGACAGATTTCCCGTGAACTTGAACTTTGTAGATGCATGAGCGGGGGGACCCAGAATGGCCACTGTCTCGCCGTGGGGTTAATGCTCTGTAAGCAGAGGCTTTACCCTGGAGAAGTCGCAGAGCAAGGCCTTGAGGTCCTTTAACGCTTCATTCTGACTCGGTTATTTGTGCTGGAAGAATGAGAGATTGGAGGGACTCGGGAAGATCCATCTTCCCAGACTCTTTTATTTAGGTGGGAGGGGCCCAGGGGTGTGGCCTGAGCCCTGCCTCTAGCTGTGGAACTTCAGCTGGAAGGTGTGTTTTCCTTCCCTTAGTTCTAGCAGAGGGAGGTGGGGCTAAATTCAAGAAGTACGAGGAGATTGACAATGCCCCGGAGGAGCGCGCTCGAGGTATCACCATCAATGCGGCCCACGTGGAGTACAGCACTGCTGCCCGCCACTATGCCCACACAGACTGCCCTGGTCACGCAGATTATGTTAAGGTGAGGCTTGTTCAGAGGGCTCTGGGGATTGAGCTGGGAGCTGCTTCCTGTCAGGGCAAAGGGTAGGCTTGGGGGAGCAGGTTTATATACTGGAGAAGTTTGGATGTGAGATTGTGGACTCGTGGCCATGGCTCCGCACTGGGTGTTGAGATGGCAGAGAAAAGGAGGCCTCGGTGTCTGCTGCACTTGGTTAGGTGGATGTGGAGCTGAGGAGGTTGTGAACCAGGCTGAGTGTTTCCTCTTCTCCTACCCAGAATATGATCACAGGCACTGCACCCCTTGATGGCTGCATCCTGGTGGTGGCAGCCAACGATGGCCCCATGCCCCAGACCCGAGAGCACTTACTACTGGCTAAACAGGTACTCAGAGCCTGGGCAGTGCTGGAAAGAGGAAGAGTGGGAGCTGGGCCACCGCACACACCAGCCCTCTCTCTCTTCTCACGGACAGATTGGGGTAGAGCATGTTGTGGTGTATGTGAACAAGGCTGACGCTGTCGAGGACACTGAAATGGTGGAGCTAGTCGAGCTGGAGATTCGGGAACTGCTCAGTGAATTCGGCTACAAAGGGGAGGAGGCCCCGGTCATCGTTGGCTCTGCTCTCTGTGCCCTTGAGGTGAGGGCAGGGTCAGGCAGGGCTGCTGCTGGCAAAGGATGGGCTAGATGGGCACTCAGGAGTTCTGCTCTGTCTGGGGAGTGGATCACGGTTAAGGACAACGAGCAGAATGGAAATTCCAGAGTCCTCTCACCTGCTTCCTACAGCAACGTGACCCTGAACTAGGTCTGAAGTCCGTGCAGAAGCTGCTGGACGCTGTGGACACGTACATCCCAGTGCCCACCCGGGACCTGGAGAAGCCCTTCATGCTGCCTGTAGAGTCGGTTTACTCTATTCCTGGTGAGGATGCTTGTTCACACTCCCTCCCCACCCCCACCCCCACCCCCAGCTGTAGCCCAGGGTCTCTGATGACCTGTCCTATACTCTCCCAGGCCGGGGCACTGTGGTGACAGGTACACTAGAGCGTGGCATTTTGAAGAAGGGAGATGAGTGTGAGTTCCTGGGACACAGCAAGAACATTCGCAGTGTGGTGACAGGTATAGAAAGGAAGCCTTGAGCTTGGGGCTGGCTCTGAGATGCTTTTCCCTTGCAGATCTGTGTGCCCTCTCTGCCCCAGACTTTCCTCCTCTCTCTCCCCTTTCCCTCCTAGGCATTGAGATGTTCCACAAGAGCCTGGAGAGGGCAGAGGCAGGGGATAACCTTGGGGCGCTGGTCCGAGGCTTGAAGCGGGAAGACCTGAGGCGTGGCCTGGTCATGGTCAAGCCAGGGTCCATCCAGCCCCATCAGAAGGTGGAGGCACAGGTGAGCGTGCTGGGTGGCGACGGGCAGAGCTGATGCAAACTGCGCCTTGTGTAGAGGCAGTGCTTCCTTCTGAGGCCAAGTCCACCCTTGCTCTCTCCCCTCCAGGTTTACATTCTCAGCAAGGAGGAGGGTGGCCGCCACAAACCCTTCGTATCCCACTTCATGCCTGTCATGTTCTCCCTCACCTGGGACATGGCCTGTCGTGTTATCCTGCCTCCAGGGAAGGTAACGGTGGCTGTAGGGACTGTTAAGTACACGGGGCACACTTCACGGGAGGTGTGCCTCGCTGTAGTTCCCAAGATGTAATACAGCAGCCCGGGTGACTTGATTTCCTTGAGTGCAGAATGGCAGCTGTGCTGTGTGGGTGGACCTGTTACAGTGGGTGGAAGGGTCTGGGCCAGCGGGTTCAGGAGTGAATCCTTGTCCTGTGTTTTCGACTGCGATCAGGTGAGCTTAGCTCCACCAGCATTTACTCAGATATTGCCTAGAGCCTCTTGTTGAAAGTTCTGCTATAGATGAGGAAGTTCTATAACTAAGAAATCTGTGTAACCTGACAGTTCCTAAACACCATAGGAACATTAATCACCAGTCCCTTCCATATTCCCATACCTCCCCAACCCTCAGCCAGTCCCCTTTTTATAGTTTATCTCCTGAGCGACAGAAACAGGCACCCTTGACAGGGTCTCCTCACCTTGATCTCTGCCAGCCAGGGTCATGGGTGTGCCCATCGTGCCTGGCAGACCCAGGATGCACACTTGATGCACTCAAAGCAGTGCCCCTTCTGCCTTTGTGCCTGCCTGATACCCGGGTGGATGAAGCTACCCCAGAGTCTGCATTTTCCCGTATTTCATCTCTGGTACCAGGAAGTTGGTTTCCCAAAGGCCATGCCTGATCCGTCTCTCCCCTCCAGGAGCTTGCCATGCCTGGGGAGGACTTGAAGCTCAACCTAGTCTTGAGGCAGCCGATGATCTTAGAGAAGGGCCAGCGCTTCACTCTGCGAGATGGCAACCGGACCATCGGCACTGGCCTTGTCACTGACACGCTGGCCATGACTGAGGAAGACAAGAACGTGAAATGGAGCTGAGTCTGGACCTTTGCTCAGGTTACTGCATTGAGGACTGCCCTGGCCAGTGTTCCTCCTGCTCCTGTGCACCCACAGGGCCCACACTGCGACCCAGTGGAGTGCAGCTAGATGGACATTTTCCCCCTAGGCAGAGGGGTGGCCTGCCAGGTAAGCAGGCCAATAAACTGTCCTGTGAATAGTCAGCTTGTGTGTCTTGTGTCCTTCTTGTTGAAGAGGATGAAGGAGTGAAAATAAGGGGAGTTGGAGCTCAAGACAGATGAAGAGCTCATGAGATCCCAAAGCCATTTTAACCGAGTTTCTACTGTGAAGAGTCCACTCCTGTCTAGCCCTATGGTGCAACAGTTAAGCACTGCACGGAAGGAGCTAGATCCCCATGGCTGACTGGTTCAGATCTTGCCTCCAGCAGCTTGAAAAACACACCATGCATGTGCCCAGGATCCTGAAGGGAAGGAGTGGGAGATGGGTTACAACATGACTAGGCCATGTTGTAAGGCACTCTCTGGCATTAAAGAGTCTAGGGACCAGCAGATGGCGTAGTGGCTATGTCACTGGATTCCCATGTGGTCGACCAGTTCGAGTCCTGGACCCAATGGCTTAAAGTTCCATAACTAAGAAACCTGCGTAACTAATGAGTGTACAAGCATGCCCAAGATCCTGAGAGGAGATGGAGAAGGGGTTGTATCATGGCCATCCCCTCTGGGGGTGATTTGCTGTCCTTTCTATTTCTCTTTCTTTCTGACAAGCACATGCACCAAAAACCTCTCAAAAAAGAAAAAAAAGAAAGTGTCTATCTCTATGGTACAAGATGGGAAAAGTTGTCTTAAAACTGCTCTCATGGAGGGACCAGCATTTAGTGTAATGGCTCTATCACTGGACTCCTACGTAGTTGACCGCGGTTCGAGTCCCAGACCCAGTGGCTTAAACTCACACCGGGTGCATGTGCATGTGTGCGCAAGATCCTGAGAGAATGGAGGAGAAGGGATTGGGGCATGGCCATCCCCCCTGGGGGGTGATTTCTTGCTTTCTTATCTGTCTCTGTCAGGGGAGTGCACATGCCCTATGGCAAAAACATCTCAAAAAAAACAAAACAAAACAAAAAACTGCTCTCAGGGGGCCAGCAGGTGGCATGGTGGTTAAGGGTTTAAGGGTGTTGGACTCCCACATTGCCAACTGCAGTTCAAGTCCCAGACATGGAGGCTTGCTTTCTTGCTTTCTCTCTCTGGTCAAATTAAAATAAGTTAAATAAAAAATCTTTTTAGAAAGAGATTTTTGCGATGGGACATGTGCGCTTGCCAGAGACACAGAGACAAAGGGAGAAATCCTCCCCCAAGGGGAGATGGCCATGCCACATCCCTCCTCCATTCTCTCGAGATATTTGAGCGCAAATGCCCAGCGTTGAGTTTTAAGCCACTGGGTCTGGGACTTGACCCACGATCCACTATGTGAGAGTCCAGCAACATGACCATTACACCATCTGCTGCTCCATAAAATAATTCCTTTAAAAAAAAAGTGCTGGACTCTCACGTGCCTGACCATGGTTTGAATACTGGACCTGGCAGCTTGCTTTCTCACTTTCCCTCTCTTTCACTCTTCTGTCTCCCTCTGGTGAGCTCACATGCCCTATAGCAAGTTAAAATAATAAATTGAATTAAATAATTCTTTAAAGTTCTCACTTCTGTGACTTCAGAAATGAGTTCAGTGAGCTTTGATTGCTTAGCAAGATGCTGCAGGAAGATAATGTTGAATATCTTCTGGCTTGTCATTTGGAGCCTGTGGGTGCTCTGCTCAATCTTGGATCTTGACAAGTGAGTATGTCCAGGGTATAGCCACTGAGACAAGCACCCAGAAGACAAGGCTCTTGGGCCCAAACTGAGAGCTGATTTGAGAAGCTCAGAGCCTGATCTGTGACTTCAGAGCAGAGCTAGACCAGAGCAGCAGGGGAACTGTTAAAAGTACTGCCTAATGACAGGGCAGGTTTGATTTCTCTTCCCAAGAAACTTTTGATTAAGAATTATTTAGGGACCAGGAGGTGGTGTGGTGGTTAAGAGCACTGGACTCCCACATGGCTGATCATGGTTTGAGTCCTGGACCTGGTGGCTTGCCTTCTGTCTCTGTCTCTTTCTCTCTCCTCCTCTGGTCAAATTAAAAAAAAATAAAGTTGAGGGGCTGGCAGGTGGCATGGTGGTAAAAGTGCTGGACTCCCATGTGGCCGACCGTGGTTCAAGTCCTGGACCTGGTGCCTTGCTTTCTCACTTTCCCTCTCTGTCTCTGATCAAACTAGAAAATAATAAAAAATAACTAAAACAATAGTTAAGAAAAAAGTTGAAGGTAATTCTTTTATAAAAAAAGAATTATTTTTAATATTCATTGTCTTTATTGAAATTGACCAGAGACACAGAAGTGAAGAAGCAAAAGCTGACAAATTAATATACAACATAAATCTAACAGATGAGCAATCCTTCCATTCCTCAGCAACACATCTCAGTACTAATGACACCTGTCTCCACCACAACTTCAAACATCCGGAGCCCAAAGATTTCCAGCTCCTGTTTCTTCCATTTCTCAAGCTCTTGCACTTGGGCCTCAACTCGTCTTTTGTTACCAGGTGCATGCACTCACCAGAGACCGAGAGAATCGCTCCCCCAGAAGATTTAGTCACACCACAATCCTTTCTCCATTATCCTCAGGATCTTGGGCACACATGTACCCAGAGTAATTTTCTTTCCTTTTTTTTTTTTAAATTATCACTCTTTTTTTTTTTTGTGTTTTTTTCTATAGGGCGTGTGCGCTCACCAGAGAGAGAGAAATCACCCCCCAGGGGGGATGGCCTCACCACAATCCCTTCTCCATTCTCCTCTTAGGATCTTGGGCACGCACGCACACGCACCCAGCATGAGTTTTAAGCCACCGGGTCTGGAACGCGAACTGTGGCCAACTACATGAGTCCAGCAACATAGCCATTATGCTAACTGCTGGTCCCCCCTGAGTAATTTTCAAGCTGCTGGGTCTAAGACTTGAACCATGCAGGTGGCCAAGTGAGATCCAGCTGCATTAACTCTGCACCACCTGCTGGCCCACCAACTCTATTCTTAGTAGTCAAGTGGGCTGCTACATAAAATCCCTTTTTCCTTAGTACACCCTTCTCCCCTCCGTACCATGCCCATAGAGCACCAAGTTTTCATCTCCATACCTTAGGACTTCTTACCTTGGTCTTAGAACATTTTCTCTGGCTTTGGTCAGAGCTGAAATACCCCTGAGCATCAGCCCCTTCTCAATCCTTTAAGGGTGAAATGACCTCCACTTATAGAAAGGAAACTAGGGTCAGGTGTCACACTAACTTCAAACCAACTTGGAAAAATACCTCTGCAGCCTGTTGTCATTTCCATGTCCTACTGGCTTCCACCTTGTCCCACCACCCCTCATCCAGCTCCTGCTCTGGCCTGTACTCTGCTGTTCTCACGGGCATCTCTCCACCTTTATTTAGCACCCTCACCCACACCTAAGCCTTCAGCTGTGCACCAATCAGGCTGGAAATGTGAAGAGATGGACCCAGGTCATGAGTGAAATGAAAAACTTTACTTGTACCGTAAGGTGAGAGCAGTTTTGAGGTGAGGTCACTGGGAGGTTAGCACTGCAATTCCAGAGCCAGAAGGGGCCACACCCTTCACTGCCCCATCTTGGCAACAGGACTCCTACCTCAGACTCCCTTAACCACTAGGCTACAACTGGCCCCGGAACCTACTTTCAAATGAACCACATAAGACCTTGATTTGATTTCTCCACATCCCAGGTTTAGGAAAATTGGAGGGACCAGCAGTTGGTATAATGGCTGTTGCTGGACTCCCACCTAGTCAACCGAGTCCTGGACCCGGTAGCTTAAACTCATGGTGGTACATGTGTGTGCACGCCCAAGATCCTGAGAGAATGGAGAAGGGATTGTGGCGTGGCCATCCCCCCAGGGGGCGATTTCTTGCTCTTTCTGGCAAGTGCATGTGACCTATAGCAAAAACCTTTCAGAAAATTAATAAAGAAAAATTGGATACATGGACCATCCATGGTGGGGTGGTGGCTAGGGTGACGGGATCTCACAAGGCTGACCGCGTGGTTTGATTCCCAGATCTGGTGGCTTGAAAATGCTGTTTAACTGCGTGCCTAAAATCCAGAGTGAAGAGATTGCAGTGTGGCCATCACCCCTGTGGGTACTTTCTCACTTTCTGTCTCCAGCAAGTGCCCGTGCTCTGTTGTAAACTAAAAGAAAAAAGAATTTGCTGTAATTTTTACATGAAGAGGAAGCAGCAGCAGATGATAGGATACAGTGCTACCACCACACAGGACTGACAGCTATGGTGTTACTCTAGTCTCAAAGGAAATGACAGACAGATTAAGTTAGTTTAAAATTTTATTTTTTTTATTTTTTTTTAATATTTTTATGTAATAAAAAGTAAAAGTCCTTGTCCAACATCCTTGTGGGGCATCTGTCTGTCTCTCTCACACAGATCACTCAAGTTAATAGGGAAGAAAGAACAGGGGGCCCAGTCTGAGGTTATAAATAATAGAAAATAAAAGATCTTCTGTCTCCAGCGGGGGAACAGATGAGAGGACGGGAGGGCAAGATTGGGTGGGAATGGGCAGGGGCAGAGAAGGAACCCCCCACCCCCGCTGGACCCTGGCCCTGCCCACTTTGAGGCCCCTCCCATTCAAGGTGCTTGGCAGGAATTCCCCAGCTCCCCCAGGGGAAAGCGGGGATTGGGGGCTGGGGCTGGTCCGAGCTGCTGGGGGAAGAGACATAGATCACTCTTCCCTCCACTCATGGAGGTCTCAGGTCGCGGCCAGGACAATCTTCAGTTCCCCGGGGGGTGGAAGGGGAGCTGCTGGGAGGGATGAGATTGAACTGGTTGGAGGGGAAAGAGAAGAGAGCAGGAGCATTAGAACCCAAGCAGCTGTCCCTGCATCCAATGCCGTCCAGTGGGGGTGTGGGGAGCGTGTTTGGGTAGGAGCGGCCTCCTCAAGGTGTCTCGGGGGGCTGTCAGAAGCACAGGTCAATCGCTGTTTCCCAGTAAGCCAGAGCCCTCACTCGTGTGCCCAGCTCAGCCCCCCACACCCCAGTCTGGCCCTGTCTGCTGCGCTGACCTTACCTCGGCTAAGTCAGGAGACAGTCGGGGTCACTGAGAGCTGGGGAGGC